TATATATATATATATATATATATACATATATATATATATTTATTTATTAAAAAGAAAAGAGGATTGTCTCACATTCATCACACCGTCGACATCTTCAAGTCCACAAACTTGAGTATCATCTCGCGATAATTGAAGTTCGTACAGAGATCGAGGTAATTGGAGGAGCCGGCTGCGCTCAGCACCTTCTGCGGCAACTCCTGGTAGACCACGCTGTAGACAGTATTGCTGGATGTGGGCACCTTCGCCAGGGTCTCGCCCTGATACGTTAGATGATAGATGTAGGGGGCCGCACCGGCCGCAATCACGCGTTCCTCGTAAATCTCCGCCACGTGAATACCTTGATCGGCCAGATCGAAGATCGTCGCCGCTTCCATAGTGCGCATATGCCACAGTGACAGGCTGGGTCCACCTCCGCATAGCTGAGACATCAACAATTTAGTAATCACTGTAAATTGTAAGAGGAAAATTACAACCATTATTATACGTACCAGCCAATCCTCGGTAAAATCTACGGCGCCTATCCACTTTCCCAATCGCGGCCGAGCAACTTTATCTACTAAATGCGGCGTTAATATGTTAGTATTCTCTCTCTTGCGTAAATCCCATAATCTTACAGATCCGTCTTCGCTACAGGACGTGAGCTGATTACCCCTGAAATTTACAGTACCTTTCTAATTATTGTTTATAAGACAAATGTAATTTAACCGTGACTTACTCAATGTGGTTAAATGACACTTACATTATGGCAAGGCAGTGAATATAATCGCTATGGCCTTGCATGTCCCTTGAAATTTTTCCATCCTCCAAGTTTATGATGTATATATTATTATCTCCACAGCCGGTGTATAATAATTTATTTGACTTTGAATACACCATGTAATTTACATCTGGCTTCTCATAACTGTCTCTGTGAAGATGATTTATTACTTTTGTCTCAACACACAGTTATAATTATGCACAATTGAAAATATAACACCACTAGCAAACACGGTACTTTGTATAGATATTTTTATTTTTGCTTACTTGTTAGTTGGAATTTGTATGCTCCACGACATTTTACTGTTGGGAGCTTTGCTGGAAGTCACCATTTTCCAGTCCCATCCTGATATCTCACCACGTGTTCCTATCACGAGGAAATCTTCTGTAGGCAACATACAAGCAATCTGTTGGTGAGAATGTGCAGTAAAGCAATAATTGGGTCCTTGAAAATCATTTTCTTCTACTTTGTTGGGCCCTAAGGTTCTTGATAGGCTGTTTAAAAATATTTACTTCATTAAATAATGTAGAATATTTATTTTACCTTTTATCTTTTAAAGAACATTTTAGAGAAGAACAATGCATAAAATACTTACTCAAACACTGACACATCCCCATAAATATTGCCAGCCAATAGGTAATTTCCATCGGGAGAAAAAGTCTGCGATAGTACAGTGTTATAATATAACTTTTGTTCCATAGTGCTTGCCATTTCTCGTCAATTTGTTTACGTACAATGTGAGGTTAGGGGAAGTGTAACCTATTAATATAGATTAAATCGTATCAGAAGATATTTTATGATTTGTGAGAAATGAGCAATAATTTATAATAAAAAAGAAAAGGCACCTAGAGCAATTATCTTAAAAGTATAAACTGTGCAAACACGATATAGTTATTTGAATGCGAAAGCTGGAATAACTTATCGTAGAACTGCACTACGATCACAATTCTCCGTTAAGGACTGTGGCGCCTGGTAACGGATACTTTGGAACGTAATGTTTTTATCCTAGATTTGAACCATGTTTAGCCAAGACTTAAACCAAATCCTCAACAAATTTTCCCACGAAACCGTAAGGTGACATCAGGCAGTCCGTTAGTCAAAGTTATTTATTACATTCCAAGTGTAGTACTCGTATATATTTTTTAATTAGATAATATTGAATAACGGGGCAATTTCTACCTTTTTATATTACAAGATCTCTCCCTGATACGAGGTTAAATTATTTTGTTGATAATCTAGGCGGCACAAGATTAAGATAATTCAATTGAAAAACACGAATGTGTAATTTTAATCTTTTTTTTTTCTGAATTCCGCATAATTTCCGAATAAGCGCAACACGTCGGACGGAACGCGTCCCTGCCTCTATTGTTACTACGTTAATCAAACGTTTTGTTTGTTATCGTCGTCGCTCCTTCGATCTCGTCTCGTCTGCGTCTTCCTGTGTGCAAGAACCGCCGTATCGTTCATAAATTGTGGTACGGTTCTGAATGTGGCTCTTTCTCGCGAAAGAATAGAGAAGGACATCGACGTAGCAGACCGGATCACTTACGTGTCCGGTAGATCAATCGGGACATCCTGTTTGCTGAGAATCATGCGCTTCGCGAACGTATAAACGCGTAGCGCGCTCGCTGTTCTGTGCTACCGTTCGATCGCTCGATAAGCGATAGTGTAGGTTTTGTGGTATTTCTTTTTTTTTCGTGCGACTTTGTTCACTCCGCAAAGAATTACAGCAACTTTATCGCAAGAAGAACGAGCTCGCCCCCATTTCCTTTCTGTGGCCGGCCAGCGTACCAAAAGTAAGTGATGTGACTTTTCGTCAGCCGACGGCTGTAGAATGTGCGCGCGAGAGTGAGTGAGTGAGTGAGTGAGTGAGTGGAATAACGATAATATATAAAATTATTAAAACATATAGGAGGGAAGCTAAAATGATAGAGAGGTTATGTTTGCAAGAAACTTGCGGATTGGATGATGTGTAATAGTGCGAATGGATATAAAGTTTATATATACGCATGTGTGTGCATGTGTAGGATGGCGTGTATGATAAGCAGAATGACGTATGAGATTATATATCCGGAAAGAGGGAGTTGTTATTGCGATATAATATTTAGCACCTTATGAAAGTGGCCAAGTAAATAATAGGAGGAGACGTACAAAGAAAAGGAGGGATCAGAAACTAGGTTGGTGCGACACAAATTAATGGTTGGATCTCTGCGTATGTATGCGAATGAGAATGGATACAACGTATGTGTTATTTTGTGTACCTGTGTGTATATTTGCAATAAAGTGACGTACAGGTTGACAGAGAGGGGAATAAAAAGGAGGTGGTTCGTCGTTTCGGATGAATACTTCTTTTTTAAGAATTATCTTTCTTATTGGAAAGAAATCAATTAAGACGCTAAAGAAATTCTGTTGAATTGAAAACGTAAAACGACGTAATAACGTTCAAGTGTAACGACATGTTTAACGAGCATTACAAACGGAATGACGTGTAAGGTTATAAGACAGGTGGGAGAAGAGAAGGAGGGGGCGCTTATTTTCGTCCTTGGGCGAGCTTTCCTGGAACGAGGACGAAGGACAAGGGAGTAATAAAGAATACATCTGTTAATTTATCGATTAAATTAACTTAAGGAGAGTCGTAATTAAAATAAAGAGTTGTAATCGAAAAATGAATGCCATGTGTTGCGATTTTTAGAAGAAAAAGGGACAGGGAATGTGACAATATATGTGAGAATAGAATATTATAATGGTTTGGTAGATTTGTGTGTATGCGTTTTATAATTCTTCTTAATTATAATTCAAGTTCAATGATTTCACATATTGATTGCACATTACTTGTATAGGAAACTCAGAAGATGAGAACAAGGGAAGAAGCAGGTCCTTCAAAGCCGTCCGGGTCTGCGGAAGAGAAGGAGAAAGAGAAGGATGACAGGATGTTTGAATGTAACATCTGTTTGGACACAGCCAAGGATGCGGTGGTCAGTATGTGTGGCCACCTGTTTTGGTAAACATCCCGTTCAATTTAATAAGTGGAACAGATTTAAGAACACCCGTGACAATCTCAGTAATATGAGTGATAAAACTGCAGTTGGCCATGTCTGCATCAGTGGCTAGAGACCAGACCTACCAGACAAGTCTGTCCAGTGTGCAAAGCTGCTATAAGCAAAGATAAAGTCATTCCATTGTATGGTCGTGGTGCTACAAAGCATGAGGATCCGAGGTAACTTGTCTTTTTTCTGCCAAAATTCAAAGTTATCGGCAGGATGATTCAATAAATTTAATTTGCAATTCTAATTTGTGATTATTCGTTTGTTTTATACACGTTCAATAAAATATGGGGGTTGTCTTATGTACAATTCAGACTGACTCAATGAAACCCATTGCTCTTCAGGAATAACGTACCGCCACGTCCGGCCGGTCAAAGGTCAGAGCCTGAAACCAACGTTGGCTTCTCTGGGTTCGGTTTCGGCGATGGATCCTATATGTCGTTCGGCATTGGTACTTTTCCTTTTGCTTTCTTCACTTCAACTTTTAACTTCGGAGAGACACGACCAAGCCCAGGTAACGTTCTTCCTCCTAACGTAAGTCATTCGATTTTTCAATTATGATCGAAGGCAGTTTTAGATCCGCGATTTACAAGAATCAAATTATCTTCTAGCTCCCAGGGGCACACCGCAATATGAAGAGGAACAATTCTTATCCAAGGTATTTCTGTGGTTGGCGTTGATATTTATTTGCTGGCTGCTGATGGCGTAACGTCTACTAAATCACGTCTGTCTGCCCCGTGCAATTTGTACGATTTTTACGTAACCGTGTTTGATTCATAATGTTTGATCACCGATGCATCTCTTGGTCTCTATCAGATTGTAAGTCAAATTCTCTTCAAAAAGAAAAAAAAATGTAGGTCTATTTATGTGTGTCTTTCAGGGGTGATTAAAAAATTACGATTTATAATTCGTTTCTTCCTACTTTTATGTCGGAGAAGTAAATACATTCTCTACAAACTGTTTAATATTTTGTTGATAGTTTTACGTACTTCGAATAGGTCGATTCTTTTTCCAATTTTGAACAACTCTGATATTTCGATGTATCCATTTTATGTAATATGTATATAAATATATATTATCTGTAGAAGAAAGCGCGTAAGTTGCCATTCAGTATATTTCAAGAGTATACTGTATAGCTTGAAAGTGAAGATTCAGAGAACGGATATTATTAAGAAATATATATTTAAGAAACTGCGTACACACATTTTCTGCGAAAAACTGTGTGCAAATATTCGAACAATGTATATTGTTCTAGAGAGTTTAAGCTTATAAAGTATAAAATGTAATATATAATGTGCGATATAAACGTGAATTCTGGCGGGAATTATCACCAGAGTAACATCATTTTATTCAGTTTTTTGTTGTTTTCATACGTTTTTCGATTTGATTTCATCTGCTGTAAAGACTTGTAATTCCGCGAAGTATGGCTTTTGTAAATTATGATATGAATTGCGAATTGTTTTACTTAATATATTTTACAAGAAACCCTTTAAGTGACAAAAGTGTGCTGTGCATCCTTTTTCATATTTTTGATCGAGAAATAAAATGAGAATAATTTATCAGCGACTATCATTTATTCGTACATGCTGCTACATTGTTTGATTATATATTTTTAGAATCTAACAAGATGATTGGTAAAAAAATTGCGAAAAAGCGGAATTAACGCGATGGTGGGTAAAAAAAAAGGTACATATCTAGTTTAATATAATAAAGCGATTACAAAGTTAGAAAATTATTCGAAATGAATCGTATTTAAGCGTAAAGGACCTCACGTGCATAATATACAATTCCATCCTATCGTGGATCAATTGCTTTTATCACAGATTGTAGCTCTGCAGGGAGATACATAATACATATTCCCTCCTGTCCTTATTAACGCAACAAGGTGACGACAAAAGACGACAGTTAGTCAAAAGATCGTCAAATTGTTCACTATTTTGTGCGATACACCAGTTACACTTGAGATACTATTAGAGTGTGCTTTTATATTAAGATATTAACAGCTTGTTGTGAATATATGAATATTCTAGAAATTATTATCAAATATACATAAAGCAGCGGAAACAAGTTGCAAGATATAACAATTTTCGTACTTATACACTACTGTCGAAAAATAATGAAACTTGAATAAAAACTTTTATATGATTTAACAATATATGTTAAGTCATACATACATTGTGCATTTTGTATATGTTTATAAAGTTAAAATTATTTATATATATACTATACTGCATATTATGAACTTTTATTTCAAGATAAATTTGAAATTATTTTTAAGGTACTTGCTCACTACTTTATACTCCTACATTTTTCGACTTTAGTGTAAATGGTTTCTTAAAAATAACTTCTCTCTTCCTTAAGTTATTTTTGACCAGTTTCGACAAACTATGCTCTGTATTTAGAGATCTTACATTTCGTCTTTGTTATCTTTGATCTTTTTGGTGAAACCTTTGGAGACTAGCAAATCATTGCACTCTTCTCGAGTCAAACTGGATAGCACCAACCTCTCCACTTCCTGTAATATTTTCAATAAGTTATTCTATTATTTGTTAATACGTATCAATATATTAATATATGTATTATTCTACTTCTTCATGCTCGTTGAAAAATACGAGTTCTGGAACTGCACCCTGGATGTGCTTGAATTCCACATTATTGCTATACATATTTATTAAGGAAAGAATAAAATTTTGAGAGCATAGAAAAATGAATGATATAAAAGCTCACTTTGGATGCCTACTTTTATGCTCATCCATTCTTTTTTTTTGCGTCTGTATATATAGAAGGTATTTAAAATAAGGTCAATTAGCTCATGTGTTGTGCTTCAAAATATAAAACAATAAAGTAATAGAGTTGCCAATCAGAAGAATAATATAAGGCAACAAAAATGACATCGTGAAGGATACTATTGCGGCAGATCTTCGAAGATGAAGTGTTTGACATCGGGCAGCCGGTTGAGTGAACAGCCGCTACAACTCTGAAAAATATGCAGAGAAAATAATAAAACGATATTGCTAAAGCCAGCTTGTTCAACATATGCACGATCTTTCGATATATGAAACATCATTTGAATGACAAGTATCTGGCGAAACTGATAACAAATGGAATGCGACATGACAATGCCGAAAACTTGGCAGCACGGGCGCGACATACTTGACGAGTTTGTGTATATAAGAATAAATTAGCGTAAATGCGTGAAAGCGTTACCTCGACTTTCGCGGATGCATAATATCCGCTCGCGGAATTCGCGAGGGAAATGAAAGATAGGGCGAGTACAAGCACGAAGGAATAGCAGACAGCCGCGGTGGGCGCCATATTTGTCATTCGATTTCAAGGCGGAAAATGAAAGCGGTGGCTTCTAGTACTATCAAGGCGTTATCTCATGATAAAGATCCTTCGGTGAATCTGAAGATAACAATAACACCGATACTATCGACGGTGTATTCGCTCGTCGCTGAAATAACGATCAACTTCACTTTGGTGTGGAAGCATGTAAATGATGTATCAATGAAGAATACGGATTAACAAGTGATGAGAGTGAATAAAACATTACAGTGAAACGATAGATTAAGCAAGCGTAAGAAATGACAATAATCTCGACTGATAATTTGTTGCATGAGGCTGATCGAAAGTGCCCACACTGATTCTGCTGATTAGGTTAGGTTAACGAACATTCTACACGTGTTTTCGTAAATATTTCAAATCATGTCGTTCCATTACGAAAGAAGGAATACAAGAGACGGGAAGGTAAGTTGAGCAGGCGCGAAAAATTATGCACAATGATATATAATAATAGATATAAGAGAAATTAAGTGATAACAAACCCCTTGAGAAGTTCCCAACAAGTTTTCAAATTTCTCTTCCTCCAACCGTATCATTTATAACTCTTAGTCAGTTTTAAGTGAAATTTTCGTTGTAATTAATAAATACACAAGATTTCTACTTATATATTTGTTACGTTTCTTTATATTTGTAAAGTGATTTTCTGATGGACTTGCAATATCTTGCAGGAAAATATGGAGGACATCACGTCAGACTTTGCATGCTTTAAGATATCTGCTCTGAAGAAAGCAGCGTGTATTCCGATGGCAGAGATAAAAAATGTAACACTCGGACCTCAGTCTATGGTGAATAAAAGTGATACTAATGATAAGCTGGAAAATAGTCAGGATGAGCAGAATTCCTGTAATATCAAGAATCTGCAGAAGAACAATGCGAGTCCTAAATATCATACAATATCAACTTCAAATGGTATATCCTTCTCAGTCAAGAAGATCATTCAAGAAAGTGAGCTGCAAAGAAAAGAAGAAGTTAGAGTAAGTTAAGTACTATGCAATAACTGGATGTATAAATAAAACTCAACATTATCACATGAATATTTCTTTGTTAATAAGCATATATCGCTATCACATACTGTTGTAATTTTTTAATGTCACAATTAAAATTATTAAAAGTATTTTTATTATAACGTATAATGATAAAATATATTCGTATATTGGTTTTTACACTACATTGCAGAAGAAGATGGAGCACCGCATCCAACGTATGAATGAAAACAGTCTTGCCATCAAAGAAGAAATGGAGAAGTTGCGTATGTTGATGGCACACGAACGCGAACGCAGAAACGCGGAGAACTCGGCGCATATCCTGGCTGAAGAAGAGCGTATTGCCAAGGAGGAAGAGATGAAAAGGCGACACGAACAGCAGTTACATGCACAGCGCGTTCAGGAGCAAAAAGAGAGGTTGGAGCGTGAAATGGAGGAATACAGAAAACGGATGAAAGAGAAAGAAGAATTGATGAAAGCTATAGTGATTCAGCGTGGTCACTTCACAGCTAAATATTGTGATATTGTATCGTTATCTAAGACTTGCAAGGATAAGCATGCTTTAAATGTATTCCTCGCATCAAACGGAGCAAGGATCAAAGAATTCTGCCAACAAATTGAGGCTATAGACGAAAAAATCAGAGTAATTATCAAAGAAAGCATTATTAAATATTTGTTGACAAAATATGCTATCGGATTGTGATTTATTAAGAAATGGTCGTAAATTTTTCAACCAGTCTTTTGGGATCTTGCTTTTGAAAATTCGGTACAAGACTCTGCGAATTGTTGCTTATATTTTTTTCTATACTTCTTGTATAATTACATTTCTGTTTCTTTTTTTTTTTTCGTAGAACGGAGACGTCATAGCTACAGATGTGAATTCTATTGAAGTTTTGGTTCGTCACATTGAAGACATGCTAAGTTTATTTCGAATGGAGATGGGTTTGTAGACTTTTTATAAACGTCGAGTACTATCTTGCGAAGTGTCGTTGTATATATTTTGTATATCGTAGAAAGAGCAGACGCTCAATACGAAGCGGAGTTGGCTCGAAAATCGCAAATTGATAACGAGATTCAAGCTCCGGTCGCGCAGACTGAAAGTACAACGGTCGACAGAGTGGCATCTCTTCAGCAGCCTGCTGAAAGCTGCGATACTGTGGAAAAAGAGAGCGTCAATGCGACAACGAGTCAGGAATTAACTGTAGCTGCCTCACCAAGCGTTACTAACGCGCCGATTGAACCGTCCGATCCTAAGCCGGAAGAAGCGTCTAAGGATTCCGCAGAAGGTATCAACCGGTTGCAATGTGACTGTTGTAACACTTGATTAATTCTAAGCGGACGAATCAATTAGTGTATTTTTATGTTGTTCACTTATAGACAGTCCTTATGAATATGTCGACTACGAGTCATTGAGTATTTATGACAGAAGCCGGCAATTTCTAGCCGCTTATAAACAGAGTTATGTAGATTTCCTACAATCGCCCGATACAAAAAAATTCCGCTTCGAGTGCCAGAAAGCGATTAATATTCCGGTGAATGCGATTGCCGGCACTAGTGAGCAGCATTTGAGAGATAAATACGAGAGGCTGCAGAGTCTTTTAATTGGGAAATCGGCCCCCAATGTGACACAGCATCCGCAAGGAATGGCTTTCTGCAAGGATTATCTAGCGACAAAGATAGTGGTACGTTATTTTTCGTCGATTTCGGAAACTTCTCCTGTATATGTAACATTTTCAGAACCAAGGCGAAACGCTGGTATCTAGCAAACCGGAAATGGCCTTTCCTATCGCGGCTATAATAGTCGCTCTCTGGAACGAGCATAACGATTTCGGTGAGCTGGTCCTGGCGCATCTACATGAAGCGTGCCCTTTCGTTGTACCAATCTTCCCGTTGCGGCAAGAGGGCCAGTCAAATGAGGACTATTACAAGTCCCTTGGCTGCAAATATATCGAGGACGGTACCTTCGAGAAGCAGGATAAGTACTTGAAGCGAATGTCGGGCTTGATGAGACTTTACGTGTCGATTACCGTCACTGGGCAGAGAAAAGGCGTCACCAAGACTCATCCTCATGGTCTCCAGTACGCCTGGCGATGGTTAGCAGCTGTCTTGAATATCGGTAAGAAGATAATAATCAATATATGTCTCACTTCTCTTTCTAAGTACAATTTTCATTTGTTACATTTATTTCTGGAATTTGCAGAACCAAGGGCCGACACGTGCGATCTGTGCGCTACTTTGATACTGGACATGCTTGAGGTAGCCGGGAACGTGCTGTGGAGTGCTTATCCAAGTCAGTTTCGCAAGTTATTGGTACTATTAGCGGGACAATATTATCCCCGTATGCAGAACATAATGGGCACCGGTGGTGGACCTCTGATGCGGTTAGAGGAGTTCCTAACCGATGCTTTGACGAAGGGCACTATTCGTCACGCCGACGGAATGCTTCCACCTAGCTTCTGGTGATCTCGTCTTGCGAAATATTACCTAGTATATGACGACTTAAACACAAGTTATACATTTCAACGTCTCTAGTAAGCCATATAGGAACGTTTCGAATTACTTTGAATGTTATTCTAGCAATGCTTGAAGATGTCGATTATCAATTATGCTCTAGCAACATGACAGAATTGAGAAGAATGAAGGAGAGAGAATTGATATTTTGAAATTTACCTTAGTGGAGTATCATTGTTATTTAACGCTGTCTTTTTCGGCAAATTGTACAATTTACAAAGCGATTTTGATAATATATATTTTACGTATTGCGAGGCGTGAAGAAACAGAGCGGGCATGCTCATCAGAGGATATGAAATCGGGGAACGAGGGATAGATAGATAGATGGAAAGAGCGAAAAACGCTTTTCAAATTAGATTGTATATATATATATATGTGTGTGTATAAGTCGACGATGAATTTACAAATCATTATTTATAGGAAAAAATATCGATACTTTATAATAATCCAAGATTTATTCTATGTCACATTTTTCCGTAAAAGACAGTCTTTTGTTTAAAAGATTGGAGACGTTGATCATGTCGAATTGGAATGCTGGTCGTTGGTTGGCGAGTTCTGCAAACGGACGAAAGTCCCACCGACCATTGGTCCCAATTACGGCCGATGAAGACTTCGACCGGACGCATCGCTCGCTCTAAGGATCATCATCGAATCCATGACGAGTCATCCGATTTCTTCTGAGAACTTTGTCGGCTTTTTTTCAGTTTATACAAGCCGTATAGTCGAAGTTTCGTCTTCGAACATCGGCAAACTTAAGAACGGTGTCGGATTTTTAGTTTAGTAATTTAAGTAAGGAGCGCCGAATGCGATATGAATTTAAGCGAACGGGCATCGATCTTGAGAGAGAGAGAGAGAGAGAGAGAGAGAGAGAGAAAGAATATGAAAAAAAAAACGAGAGGTAAATTTTCGAAATGCTACTTCAGGGAAATGACTCCTCGCTCCTCCGCCAATGCGCAATAAAGATGCTTATCGGCGAGCATACGAAGAGCTTCGAGATTTGTCGAGATTGTGGTAAAAATACGGGTCACCATTTTGCACCAGCTTCCTCATTATGTAGTTCTCGTATTATCGGAAAACGGAAATGAATAAGTAATAGAAAGTTAATATCGTATGTATAAAATATGAAATTGCGAGATTGATATTTTGTTTTCTCGAGTGTGACAGAAACTTGAAAAAAAGAAAAATCGTTGATAACTGTACAGCTTAATTATAAGTTAAATAACGAAGAGAGAGAGAGAGAGAGCACACTGTGTAAAGATGAAAAGTGAGAAAAAAAAGAATAAACAAGAGAAGCAGAATTTCCACCGACGTAACGGTCTCAAAATCCATCTTCACAGAATCCGCGAAGCTCCTCGAAAGCATCGTGACTTCCAAAGCGATCCCGAGCGATGATCCCCGCGATAAATGCACTCACTTATTGAAAACAATCGTCGCTTTCCCCGAGATGCGGTTTTTCCGAGCGATCAATTACGAGAATGAATCGTCAGCCGGCCGGCGCGATATCGCTTGTATATTTGACTCGTGTTATCGCGCGAGTCCCTCACGAATTCACGTGTTACGTAAATTCGTACACAGCTCCGCGTGTACCCGGGCCAATTAACGGCCGACGTTTTTATCGCAGTGTCACGGTTCAAGGCGGTCGTCGTCGCGACGCTGATGTTCCAAAAAACCGTGACTTCTTTTTTCCTCCTCGGGAGAGATCCCTGCAGAATTATAGTCACGCAAACGTTAATACCGAGAGAAATAATGTTAACAGCGGGCCGGTCGAGTTGAATGGAGACATATCGTGTCACAATCGATCGTCGGTTATGCGTTTCTCTGCCGGAGAGAAGGATCGTTTAACTATATAGCCTCTTACCGGGCTTTATTGTCAAAGGTATATAGCTACGCAGTCCAAGTGTGTTACTTAGGCGAACGTCGGAAAGGCGTTCTGACTCGCGCGATGTATTTCCGTCGATGAACTCGAGTCCACGAGTCATTCTCCGGACAGCGAGCGAGCGAGCGAGAGAGAGAGAGAGAGACAAACGGACTTTGTCCTGATCCTTCGTTAGTTACGGCAGGATGTAACGACGCGATTTCGTAATCTCATTTCAATCGTTCGGAAAGCATTCGATGTGGAAGCATTCGACCGGCAGGTTCGAGACGATCAACGCGATGGATTTTCGACGAAGGGAAAAACGAAGCGACAGGCATATTGGAACAAGTGTTTCTCGCCAAATCTGGCACGCGGCATAGTCGGACTAAATTACCGCTTTCCTGAATTTCTTTCCTCCGCGCGTACGTGCTAAGCAAATCTCTCTTGTTATCGGTCATGGTGTCTTCGCGCCGAGATTATTATCAGAGTCTGTGCCGAACTCGCATCCGGTTGAGTAAACACGGATTCAAAAGTGAAGAACTGGATAGTCTGTTCTTTATAGCTGAGTTTGCCGCGGTAATTGAAAAAATTGACATACGCGTTGTACGTACGGGATTCTTATCCGCTAATTTCTTAAACTAGTGCGACCAAACGGACCATCTTCCTCACACAAAGTCACAGTTATATATCTGTTTCTCTTCCGAAAGAACAGACCTCGCATCGATCCGCGATTGATTTCCGGGTCCAGAGGGGTCACTAATTGATGCGTTTTTACAAACGTCACAGTGAAGACCCACGCGTTTGTCTTGCGAACAAACTCCCTCTCTCTCTCATCGGGGGATTTAAACGCGACGTATTGAATGTATCGTTAGTGCTGAATTAATTATCCTTGAATCATGCGGTGACGCATTTGACACGACCGTCTAATTCTCAGCCGGTGATAACGTCATGTGATAATTCGAACAGCCGGCTGACTGAGAAAGCGATCACCTGTCGATCAAAACGATTTATCTCGCAAAAAGTCGCTTATTTCTTCGACTAAAGTGAAGGAACAGACAGGAGACGGATTCACCGTTAATTGCGGTATCGTCACTACCGACGTTAAATGCGATCGTCCGGCCGATTACCGTTGCAATGCCGAATACCGCTAAGTGGGTCACTGTCATACGTTCGACGACCGGTTCCCGTTTGAACCACCCGAAGAGAAGCTGACGACACGGCGAACTGAAAGAAACTGGCCCCACGAAACGCCGCGTCGCGATTCCTGCCGGGGTTTCGCTCCTTCCTCCTCCTGCCGATTCGCGATCATTGCCGACGTCATCGTGTGCGACCACCGCTACCGCCGTATGATGTCATCCACCGGATGCTGTCATCGCGAGATGAGATCTTCACCCCGAGGAGTTCTACCACCGAGCTTCTCTCTCTGCCGAAAAAGGAACCAATGCAACGGGGCCTCGATAGTAACAGCCAGTCTCGCATCGTTGGAAAGAATGAACATTGCATGAGTCATCTGCGACATGATTATCTTGGGCTTCTTCTACAAAACAGCCGAGCACTCATCTGCTTTGTAATTTAATTACCTGCCTACAGGCAGGGCCCGAACGGATTTAAATGCGTGCCGGCGTCACGGCGAGCGAAGGTATTCCGTCGGTTAACCTGGCCCAGAAACCAAGCCGGAACTGCCGGTGGAATCAATGACCTTGGCGAGCGAGCTCCGCTCATGGTCGGGAAGAAAGTTTCACGAGAGCTTTCGTCGATGCCGGTCATTGATTCGAATTTTTCAATAGGCGCATTTCAACCGAATACAATTTTACATGAAACAAATTTTACTTTATATATTATAAGAGTGATCGGATCAGTCCAGTGAGAAGTACCTTGGATATCGTAGGATTCCTTCATGTCCACAATATGATTTCAGACGTTCCTCTCAATATTAGAAACAATCGGCTCTAATAAGCTAAGCCCCGGTTAATTATAAACATCAATTTCCGTGGATATTCCGCTCAGGAGTAATGCTCAGGAATGTTGCGTATATTTCAGAGCAGTGGAAGATTCATACTCAAGTGTGTGTAAACATTTATTAACAGTTCGAGCGTAATTCAATTTGCGTTGCGTTCCGTGAGAATCAAATTGTCAAATTAATAGAATTTCATTCGCGTGAAATAAAATCACGTTGGAACTGTGCATTCAGCGCGGTTGACGCACTATGTCCGGCATGCGTGACGTACTCACCTACCGCAAGAATGCGAATTTCCATCGGTGCTATCCGTGAGATCGCATTTAGAGATCCAGGCCAGTTCCTCCGCCTCCTCCTCGAAATCCGCTCCGTCGTCTTGCTCCGCAATTTCTCTCTTTGGCATCGTCGATGTTTGCGAGAACGCGAATTCCAAACGCTACTTTCCTAATACTGACATTACATTTCAATCTTTGATGAAATCTTTCTGTAGAACTTGGCGATATTTCGTTAGTGAATCTTCGTCGTAAAACCTTTTCCAATTATTATCAATGTATCGCGTCTGTTTGTAACAAATAATCTAATATATATTTATTCGATTTAGTAATTCACTAGATACCTGCAAAATTAATTCTAATATTACTAAAACAGAATTTGATTAGAACTGAAGAATATAACGAGAGAATTCTAATTTTGCGTACTAATTACGCGTATTGTCTTTCTCTCTTTATAAATATAGAGATCGACAAGCATTCCATGAAAAATTTCGAATTTTATTCCCCGACAGGTGCCACAAGTAATGAAACCTAACGAAAATAAATAATAACTTTCTTACGTGTCCAGATCGCTCCAAGATTGAGAAATTTAAATTTATTCCCTTTGTCGCGATACAGGTGGCGCCAGTGTCGAGGTTGTATACCATATGATCATGTATCACGTGATATAAACGGGTGCATGCTGCGGCAAATTGATAATATAGCACCATAATGCTTAAAGAACGAATTAAAATTTGTTGCGTCTGCAAGAAGAAGGACGTTCCTTACAAATGTCCTACGTGCAGGAAACCTTAGTAAGTAAAACCACTTTAATTTTCTTTCTCTGAGGTGGGGTTAGGTTGTTTAAACATGGTTAGAAAACTCCACGGATAAATATTTGATTTCCAGCTGCTCTGTGGCATGCTGCAAAGAGCACAAGGCTCAAGTTTGCGAGCCTCCGAAGGTATCTGCAAATCTTGAAGAACCTCAGGAATCCAACAATATTAAGCAGAGATATTTGTTTCCAACGGAAGACACTGTACCTGTGGAAAAGCTGGAGAAATTACGTGACAGCAATGAGCTGAAGCAATGCCTCGCAAATCCTCATGTGCGCGAAATGCTAAAGGAAGTTGTCCACAGTCGTGATCCTACCAAAGCAATTGCGAACGCCATGAGAGAACCTATATTTGTCGAGATGGCTGATGCTTGTCTGAAGATTGCGGAGTTGCCAGAAGAGGATAGACCATGCTGAGTGATGTGTGTGTATATTTTCATATTTCCTATGCAAAACTGTAATATATTGTAAAACAATATCTGTAGAGTTTTCCATTGTCTGTGTGCGACAAAGGCTAATTATCAGAAAACCGTATCTTTATAGATATATTTTTTTTACATAAACAGATATAAACGGATCTTAAACATGAATGGAGTGTATTTCTCTCTTTATGAAGAGACGACCTTAAGATGTATTACGCATTAGGTGGATATTACTTTAAGTTATTGGTGCAACCTTTACGTTTAATGATATATAATAAGGAACAAAACGCGGCTTTATTTCGTGAAGAAATAATCTTTTCTCTTTTCTTTTCTTGAATTTTTAATTAGAGTTCCGAATGTTGAGAATAGTAGGACGAGACATAACTCTCGACGCCCTTCGGTATCTGCGCACAGTCCAATTCAGCCTGCAGAGCATGATATCTCCTCCTAACGTGATGTGCTGCCATTTTCGGTTGCCTGTCCCTCGTGAAGATCCCCTTTTTATTTCCGCCCACTCTGGTGTACGCTGTAACGCGCAGAAAACATTATCGATGAGAACCATAATTTTCTTTCGGTTAGTTTTTTATAAATCAAGAATTAGCACATTACTCCGCTTTATTTATTCATCGTACTCACTTTGTGCGGTACGAAAATCGGCGAAATTCCAGATAAATTCGCCAATGAAGAAGCCCTCGTGTCGCAATCGATCGAAGGCCTCGAAATGTCTAGAGAATAATTCTTTTTGGTACTCCTCACTCCATACGTACTCCGGTAGCTGCGAGGTACGAACGTTTTATGAAATAACTGCGACGATGATACTAAGAGAAATATGTTTTGCTAAATACTTCATGTAAGCCGGGCATGGTGTCAGCTCCGTACTCGGACATAAGCACCGGCTTATTGTACTTTTTGTGCCAGGCCTCGGCTTCTCCTTGAACCCTGTCAGTGATCATGTCTAGCCTGCCGGCGTTGCTGTACCAAGCGTTGTAGCGATTGAAGCTGATCACGTCGAGAAATTGACCAGCTTTGTCCTCCTGTGAATTACAAAGTCAGCAATCGTTTGTAGAAATGCGCTATCTTTTAACTCGTTCGTACAATTTCAAATTTTTATTTATATGTCAGTTGCAACGGTTACCTGCACTCCGCGAGCCAGAGCGATAGTGACCGGTCTGGTGGGGTCAACCGCTTTCGCGTGATGAGCGATCTGCTTGAAGTACTCCTTCGCTTGGAGCAGCTGGGTCCTCGGCTCGTTAGCCAAGGACCACATGATCACTGACGGCCGATTCTTGTCTCTGCGGATGAGCTCTGATATCGAGTCCTTGTGACGCGAGAGCAAGGACGGCGTGAAATTTTCCGTATCGACTGACGGACACTCATCGATCACGAGAAAGCCGAGTCTGCAAAACATGCGTGTGTCTTTCTTAATGAGAGAAAAGACGCTTTGTGATATATTTATTGGAGTATCGGAGAAAATTCCCAGTACCTATCGGCCATGTCGAGGTCCTCGTCGCTGTAAGGATAGTGGCTGGTTCTGTAAGCGTTGGCGCCTACCCACTGAAGCAGTTCGTGATCCTTGACAGCGGTCACGAGGTCGAAGCCGCGTCCTCTGATGACCGAGTCTTCATGTCTGCCGAAACCACGCATGTATACCGGTCGATCGTTCAGCAGGAGACTCGTGTTGGTCCACACGAGGGTCCTGATGCCGATCGGTAATCGGTAGATATCTGGCTTGGTGGCGTTTATCACCGATAGTTTCACCTTAATAAAGATCAAATGTTATTTTTGCGAATTAATATTTGTCTATCGATTATTTGCCGAGTAAAAATTTACACATGTTTGAGTAAAAATGTTTCACTAGGTATAAATTTATAATTGCTGTATCTCATCATGAAAAGAATTCTTTTATTATAATTTGTAATCGATAAGAAAAGCAAATGAAGCAACATACACACGAAAAACGCCTAATATTTGAATTTTTTTGCTGATCATATTATTATGAAGATCCTTTTGAGAAGAAGTTTCTTCATACTTTTATTTACATATTACATGAAGCCCATTACAAAAAGTTGATATGTAACACTATTATTGTTACTGCTCCTATGAAGTTCGTCATTGCTATCCAAAATATCTCGGAAGCTGTTGAACCGATTTAGCTATAGTTTTGCATAGATATTCTTAGTAAAATTATTTAGTCTTTGGTGTAGGATTATATTTATTTATAGTTTTTTTTTTTTTTTTATAAACGAGAAGAGGAGAAATTTTTGGCGAAAAGATCGAACTTTTGACTTAAAATGTTAATAACTTTATCAAAAATTAATATTAAAAAAATTAGTTACTATAAATGTGATAAAAAAAATTAAAAACGTTTTTTCAAGCCGCTTGAGTGTACGTTGCCCTTAATATAATTTAATTATACCGGCTACACAAAGTGATCTCTCTAAATGTTGAAAATTAATTTCAAAATTGAATTGGTTTCTCATACTTCCAGAGTGTAAAGGTATCCCGGCTTGGGGTCCATGCCCCTGGGCCACCAGAGCCTGGCGAGTGGAACTTTCAAGGTGCCGGACAAGCCGTAGACAGGCTCCTTGATAGCCAAAGTGTCCTCGGCGTCGTGCAACGTGATACTGCAGATTGGTGTCTCCCCTTCGCGCAATCCAGCCGGTTGTACGATGTACTTGACGATTCCCATGTCACCGATCAGGCCCGTCCTCACCGTGATGTCCTCGACGTAAACGCGCGGCGCGGTATACAATAAAACGGACCTTCGCCAGGATATACAGCGGTAGTTATTATTTTTTGTATACGAATACATTTTTTAACGAATCGTTCATTTCCCTGTGTCGAGCGAAGGTTGCTGCTCGAATTGCCGGATTCGCTACGGATTTAATTCTACCGGAATAGTAACGTTCGCGCGGTTGAGATAATCTCGGCGAACGAATCGTCCATCTCCATTTTTTCAGCGTCATAGAACCGAAACCTTCTTTTTTTCGCAAAATAACGGAAATCTCGTGAACACGATCGCGATCGTCGTAACGCATCAAATGCTCTCTTGAATTTTTGCACAAAGGCAACGATAGAGATCTATTTGTGGCGAGTGAAATTCGTGTCGCTTCAGAGAAGCCGAAAAGTCCCTCGTATGTGACGCAGCAGCGAATCGGGACAACGCGATTACACGTGCCGTGTATTTTCCCTTTATTCGATCTAATCTTATCAAACTTGTATTTTTTAACTGGCACTGTGCTTTCGAAGATTGAAAATCCGATTTTACGTAACGATCTTATCGATCCATGTTAGTCTCTCCATTTATTTTTCGCCGTTTCCAGTCAAAAAAAGACTGATAGCAATTATCAATAATTACCTGTTAACTAATTAACTCTATTACTGATTAACAGAATTATTTCAAGTGACGTCGAGTTGAAAATAAACGACTAATTTAATCAATGACCGTTCGATTCTTCGTCTCACCTGTGTATACCGGCGTAGTTGAAGAAATCAAAGGTGTAAGTCTGCAGGTGTACAGTGCCGTTTTCGACTGGCATCTCTAGAATCTTGCCCTGAGGAACACTGGTTTGCAGCAGTGTGTTGTCTACGGCGACGGTAATGCGATTCTTGCCGCCGAAGGTCACATACGACGAGATTTCCGCCTCAAAGGGCAAATGGCCCATCTCGTGGTTAGTCACCAGGTTGTTGTTCACCCACTAATGATGCGAAAGTGTAAGTAATCAATGTACTACAACATTAAATGCCACCGTTGCTTTTTCTCTCCACTTCGTTCGCGGTAGAAGAAGCGACTGGTCACATTTAAGCATACGACTCGTTGACGGGGTCATCGAAGACGCGCGTAAACGAAACCGTGTAACAAATTTCCCCCAATGAATCAACCGATCCAGGTTGCTTACCACTTGAGCGAGATAATTAACTGAGCCGAATCTCACGAACACCCGTTGATCCTTCCAAGAAGAAGGCACGAAAAACGTCCGCTGGTACCACACAGCGCCTACATGGTCCCTGAGATCCCGCGATGTCGTGATGTCGTTATAGGATGACGGTACGGGCATCTTGATCATCTCGCCGACCTGCGAAGATATATACATCTTGCGTGAGCGGGTCCTTGCGAGGCAACCGCGCAACATGCAATTACGCATGATTGAATTAATTATACGCGACTCTTGTGAGCAGGGCCGGTGAAAAAAGCGAGTATATCTTAACGCAGCAAAATTCGACAGTCGTGACGGAGATATCGTAATAAATAGCGCCGAAATGAATTTAAGCGGAGTCTCTCTCGTTAGTACTCCCCGCTCTCGGATGTAAGAAATGATTTCGGCCACAGCGCCTATATAATATTACATTGCCATTGGGGGGAAAAGGCGTCGCATAACGCCGGTCCTGAACGCCGCAAGTAATAATTCACTCGGAGTCTTCGCGCGAAATTAATAACCGGGTGTCCCTCTCTGCATCGTATTATGTAACCGTAAAGTGTCTCTCCTACTGCCTTCTAAGAATTAACTTTTCATTTACCTGGCCGCGCTTCTCTATCTTTCTTTTATTTCTCCGACGTACAATAACACAATTACTTTGATATCGCTGTTTTATACCTTCGACAATTCGTAGTCAAACCATTCTTCCCTGTAGCCCTTCAGTGCGTCTCCCACAGGCGATACGACAAAGTCCCATAATCCGTCGAGAGATCTCACCTGTGGAAAAAATCGACGTGCTATATTATCAGTCAGCGTAATCTAATCAAGCACGATGGCGTCACGTAAGATTTACCTCTCGGGATTCACTTTCTCTGGGATAGAGCAGACCGGGAAGCGGAGTCGGAAATGTCTCCTCGTAAGGCAGCGGCGAGATCTCGACCGGCGGCTCGGAGAACTCCGGCTCCGGTCCGGATTCGCCGGCCATTGCGGCGCCGATTAAGAAGAAGATCAAGTGCCACATCCCTCTGCGACCCTCCTAAACAGATAAATTCCCGCGGTGAGAAGGCAATCACTTATCGTTAGGATCAATCGCAAGTTTCAATCCGCTAGTGCTTGAAAGTTTTATCGGCTCTTTGCAGCTCTACCGCGTTAATGCGCGTATGCGAGTGATAACCAGCAGTTGAAATACGAGTTCTGACTAATGCGAAATATTGCGTCGACGATACTTGGAAGTTTGAAAACCTTTATCCAAAACATCTTCTTTCTCGCAGACACGTTTAGCGCAAATTTATATTTTAACGTTGCGTTTTGTTTGAATGTCGTTTGCTGTTCCGCATTCTTTACTGCAAGTAGTAGTTTGATGGCTGTCTGTCTTCACAGCGAATAGTTGTGTCACTATCTCGAGACGTTCCCTTCGAAATGTACGCATCGAATGTCGAGACGTTACTCAGTACAACAATGTGTTTAGTTTTCCGACTATCTGCGGCGACTCGCTACGGTCGACTGATACGTCGAACCTTCTCCGATAAGAAATAAGTATATCCGCATATTTGATAATAAATTTAATTGACTGTGACGTAACTTTTGTATCATTCGCGGTTCAAGCGATAAGATTCACTTGTTGGCAAGTTTGTTTTTCACTGGAAGTCTCATTGCGTAATATGGAAATAATCTCGTTAGGATGCGTCGTTGCTTCTCTCCGAAATTTTCTGCGATAAAGCTACTCGATTGTTATCACGATTATTCGGAATATCGATTCTTTTTTTTTTTAGTCAGATTAACAAGATAATTATACTTTTCTCGACTATCACTTCTATTTTTTCATATATCTCTGAACTTTCAACGACATAAAGAAGTGTCCGAGGAGGAGGGATTTGCTTAACAATCGCCACGGACTACCACGTCTCGTTGGACAAGTTTCTTTTTCTCTCTGAATTTTATCCGACAACCACGAGAGAAGACCGGTCCTTCCGAGGACGGCGATTCGTGTATCCTTTGACGATAGATGAGGTGAACGATCGTAATGAGACGTCTCATAAATTGTTGAAATCTGTTCCGACAAAGATTCCGTTCACCTCGTCCACAGTGAGAAAAAAATGTTCGCTCATCGGGCGATCAGTTTCGAGCTGGTTGCACCCCACACACACGTTCCGCAGGGTCTCGTTCGCAGCAATATCGGCTTCCTGGCACGGTGCCCTCCTACGAGAGCAGACTTCCCTTCCCAAAGCATCAAATCGTTTCCTCGTGTCGTACCGCCACGGCATACTGTGTGTCCCTAATTCCTCGAATAGACACCATTGTCCAGGCCTTAACACCCGGTAATAATATCTAGGTAGCACTGAAACCGCAATTTCGTTGGCCATCGAAAGTTCATTGCGTTTTCCCCGCAATTCGTTCGATTTTCTTATGATTAATTAAAAGGCCGTTCTTCATTATCTATCGATGCAGTTTCTACACGCGGCCTCGATCGAACAGTTTCTTCGCGATTTCTCTCGCTTTGAACAAGCGTAGATAATTCCCAGACCCAATTTCACGAGGCGAGATAATTGATCTGCGAAAGCGGAGGGCTTTTAAATAGATGATCGCATGCATTTTCGCTTGGTTGGTTTTATTAACACCGATATTCGTATCGAGAGCGCGGCGAAGTGTAAGAGACGCGATTACGCGACATGAAAATGGAGCAGTAATGATAGAATGATGCTAATATTCTGTACAGGCCGCATGTCCCCTTCGAAATTTTTAGATAACGAACGAAGACAATTTTTTCACGGAAATCGATTGTAAATATTGAATATCTAAAACGATCGCGTTTAGAATCCGCGATAGAATTTCGCGTTTTAATCGATAAAGTCGATTTCCGCGTTTAAGGTATGTGGGAGAAATTGCGTCGCGCATCTGGAAAATGAAGTATTGTTTGGGCGCCGGAATTTCAGTGGATTGCCGACACCTCGTCGCGAATTTATCGTTACCGTGCCGACAGATTTTCGCGACAAATAATTCACACGAACGTATATTTGTTTCCGGGAGACTCGCTGAAAAGAAGTTTCGCGATCATTTAGACACCGTCAACGAACCTTGCAGCGTTCTGTGGTATCCGAGGAGAAGTTACCGAAAAGCGGACCGATTCCAGCGTTCTCGAAGCTATCTTGACTTGAATAACTCGGCAGAGAATGTTCTCCCTTTCTTTCTTCGTGGATGACGTTCAGACTCTGCTTATATTTGTTTGATGGCGCTTTCACTCCTTCTATTTGCTTCCGTCCCGGATATACTATTTTTTCCCCTCTCCGTGTTTTGCCTCGCTCAGCTTCGCACTGAAAGCCGAAAGTCTCTCTTCCACACGCTCGCACCGACGTAATTTTTCGTCCTCCTCGTCTGTATCATAGTCGTGGCTGCATCTCACTTACAAACATCTCGATTTACATACGCGAAGCTGTGTATATTCAATCCTTATCGATTGCACTCCCGATGCTGCTAATCTAAATTATAGCGGATAATTTTCTCCATCTAGATCATAGCACCGGGTAGTCGTTTCAAATCCGCGCGGTGTTGACGCGTTCACCCGGAGACTGACTGCTGCACACACTCGAGCCTCGGGGCTCACCGAGCGTGACTACTCCGCTTCGTTCAACGCGGAGCAGAGTGGAGGTCGAAAATCTCGCTCCTCTCCTCATCGTCGTCGGCGAGGAGCTCCGCTGCCGAATAAGACGGGAAGGTCAAACCGCCCGTTTTCGTAGAAGAGATGAATTATCGCGATTTTCTTTCTCTCCCGAGACTTGCTCGAAATTTTAGCGCCGTTCAGCGTATATCCACCTCGTGAAACTGTCCTCGTTTGCTATGCATTACTCGTACGATTATCGCTATCGTGTGTACGTGTCTTGCATTTTCTCAAATTAACTCACAGCGTAACCGATAATCTTTCGGTCGTTTGCGCACAATAGCCACCCTACTTCAAGAATTTTGAACTTTGCTTGAAAAAATATAGTTATAAGTTGACGCACTCTGATAAATCTCACATTTCTACCATCTGATACTCGTAATTTCACTTTTTAATTGTCCTTGATTGTCTCGTAATTCAGGAATCGAATGACAAATTTTGCACGTTGGAATTTCGCGGAATATTAATTTTTCGCTAGGTATTTCGCGCAACTTTTCGTTTCTCGTCGAAGGAATATCTGCCTCGAGGGGCTATCGATAGACGATCTTGATGATTGCGGGAAGGAATTGCGTACGAAAGGTGGAAGGAAGGAAGGAAGGAAGGAAGGAACGAACGAACGAGTGCTCGGGTTAATGACCATCCGATAAGACGTCGGGGAGTTCGACGGTCGATAGCATTCTGCAGAGCGAGCGCGCCAGTCCTCTACACACGTCTTTCATAGACATTCGTTCGCATTGAATAAAGAAAAAAACAAAAATGCAATCGTTGCTCATACGGATTTAACTGTGTTTCGAACATTTCTTTCCATTTTATCGCTACCTGAATGTTTACAATTTCATTTATTAACATTCTATCTATATTAATTTATCCAAATCTTGCCATCAACATTTCCTTGTTCTACAACTTGTATGAATATCGTCGCATGCAATTTAACCTGCGTGTCGAATTAAAATCGCGCACTTTCAATCGGTTGTTCTCATATCGCGTCGACAAACAGGAGACTTCCTTTACCGACGCAACTGCATTCAGTTCGCGCCATTCTTGCCGAGCGTCTGGCAGTTGACGGTGCAAGCACTCGGATGATCTTGCGGCCTGTTAAATGAGTAGTAACGTTCACTTTCAAATATCCTACTTGCCATTATTCGGTCGTAGTAGCAATTAAACATTGTTATCGCGTTTTGCTATCTCCGGAGTTTTCGAAATTTCAGCGTCGTGTACGTCGAGTGGCCCATCATTGTAGTCGAATCATTTCCGTAATACGGTGTTACAAGTTGTTACCGTAAATTAACGTACTTCCCAACTGTGTTCGACACAAGTAAACAATGAGTGCAAATTACCTGTGAGATGGATTCTTCGATTGAAATAACCTATGAGGCAAGAAGGCCAAATTTATGCCATTTTTCGTCACCAACGTCGTCGATTAAACTTTTATTTGAGTTCTGTTCAGGCTCCGATTAAGGTTTAATCGCATTATTCCGAATATATATTGCAAGCAGAAGTCGGTGGAAGGAGCTGCCTCCTTTTAGCCGAACTAAAACGACTATTCGATGTAATTCGTCGCGTCGGTAAATCTTGACACGAGAATATGATCGGTACTTTTGAGATAAAGGAAAAGAATAAGATTGATTAACGTGAAGACGAGATTATATATGAATGAAACATTCATATGTTATTCGCGAGATATTAGATTACGCCTCTTTATGTAATATTTTCATTCCCTCATGTATATTTTAATTTGTGCCATTTTGTATCGCACTTCGACACTCAAGGGACTCTAGGACGCTTACGCGCAGGGACTCTACGTTAGCCTCGCGCGCACAGGCGAACGTCGACGACCCCTAGTCGTCATTGCGCGCGCGAACGGGTAAACTGTGTTCGGCCGTCGTGCTGGGTGCTTCGAGATTTTTTCATCGTGCGCTATCGAAAGTGCCGAATATTATTCGCGTCGTTTGATGCATTGCTTCGGTGAGCACGACAAGCTCCTTCAGGCTCGCAATCGTCGACCGTTATTTTCGAATATTCCGAGAGGAGCATTCGAGTGTCTCCGCATAATCGGGTATTATCACGTATCTGATTGATGACAGGAAGCAGTTATAATCCGTCGCCGGGAATGCGACAGGCCCTTCATGTCGCGTCGCTGGTTTGAACAGTCGCCATTACAGTTCCCGCGCAAAATGGCAGTAGTGATCGCGAATGTTGTGTGAAAAGTTATTTTCCGCAAAATCGTCGAAGGATTTCACCAGCTGCGGTGGCCCGACTAGGACGACGTCACATCGCAGATCCTTGATGGGACAGCCAAATCGCATCGCAGATCTTTGATGGGACAATCGAAGGCGTCGCAACGGCGGTGCAGTAATCGGTGAGTAAGTTTATCTTCGGAGAAGAATTACTTCTTCAGACGAAACAGATGGAGATTCTTTGATCGATGTGAAACAGTGCTATCTTAACAAAACTGAACTGAAAAGTAACGTTAATTCTATCTTACATTTGAAAATTATGGCGAGTAATTTATTTATTGAATTTACTTATTGAACAGAGATTTTTCGCCTGTGTCACTTGGAAGTAACATTACCCTAACAAAATTACCGGAAATTAATAATTTTGAGTTATACTTGTAAACGATGGATTTTTCGCGAATTTAATTTTACGGTTCGTCGTCACAGATAATGAAATTGAACTTGTTTTCCTAATTGTTTGTTTGTTTTAAATGGCATCGATTGCAAACTATTGAACGAATCATGATTTTAAAAATAGATTCAATATATTCTCTTGTATATATGACGCCAACATGTTTCTAGAACGGTAATGAATTAATTAATCACGAATTTTTGATTAATTTTTCATCATATGTTGAGAGAGAGAGAGAGAGAGAGGTTTCGCGCTAATGAAATATTTTATCTCGTTCTACGTTATGTTGAATGTAAATATGTTGTGACATTGTTAAAAAATCGTACAACAATGTAATATGAGTTAGTTGAGAAAGAATTTCGTTGTCTGTTTTATTTTCAATAGAACTTATTAGAAGTTATAAAATAAATTTATAAAATCATATTATAAAATAATATACATCATTATATGTAATTTTATATAATATGTAGTTTCAGTTAATCATAACAAATGGAGTACTGTAATGTACTATATCTAATAACTAATGTACTATATCTTTCTGGAAATTTTATTTGAACAAAAATTCATTTTATATTATTGATTGCCATGTGCCTCGGAAATTATGAAATATCCTTTTCATCTGAGGAATTTCGTCAATTTTGCATTAACGCACTTCAGCGAAATTGTCGCTGTCGTGGAATGTG